AATCCCAGTTTTCTTTACCCGTGTCCTGCCTTTTTCTAAACTACTTTCATCAGTTTTAGGTCAAACTCTTTTCTGTTGTTCGTCCCACCCATTTGCTCCCGACTTGTGTCTAATATTTGTCAAGTTTCCATACAAAAGGAGCTGCTGAGAAGTAGGCATGGATGTATGTAGGTACCAAGTTCTCTTGAACTCTCTACCGCGCCTCCTTGGCGTGGTGTCTCCACAAGTACTGCTTAGATAGAATTACTTAATTATGTTGATTTTGTTTTTGAATGGTTACAAATTCTTTGCCGTGCAATTTTAGGCTGAAAATTTCACAAGATTTTGGAATTTATTTGAATTGCATGTTTCTTCAGAGTGTGATGTGATGTGATGTGAAGTAACTGTGTTATGGTTAAGTTAGCATACTGCATGGCATGTATGCTAAAAAGATACAAATTAACCTTTATTAGAAGAAGTAAGTATTGATGAAAGTTGATAAAGATTTAATAATTGTTACGCATTTCTTTTAAAGAATATGATCATGGGTGTCCGAAAGTATTTTTTTTTGAAATTGATTTTCTTATTTGTAAAAGATTAGTCATTATTTCTACTCAATAGTAATTAATTTGTTAATCATAAGAGATTTGTTTTTATTTTTGCTAATTGCCATTCCCAACTTAAACAAATTTCTTTCCACAAAATCTCGTCGGTCTATGAACAGGCTCTTTTATGCTGGTTTTAGGAGAATAATAAAAAATATATTTTTTATTTAAAAATAGTTTGACATCATTTTTTTAATTATTTTTATAAATGTACACAGTGATTTTTATATTTTGTACCCTAATAATATTATATATTTCTTCATCTTCCACCTTATATCCTAAATATTGATTGGGCTGGATGCTAGGTTTCTAAGTATGTCGATGGCGTGACTAAAAAGAATTTCTTTGGACTGCCTTTCTCGACAACGCTGAGGATACAGGTTGAACTTTTGCCTAATTCGCAATATTTATTTATTTATTTATATATATACAAAATATTATTTAAATAGTACAAATAATTGATTTAATAATTTTCTTTATTTTGCTATTTTATTTTTGTTTTTTTTTTAATCCAGTAATTCCACGGATAATTGATTTAATAATTTTGGTTGTATTTCATTTTTTAAAATAAAAAAATAAGAATAATAAAAGCTTTCTGTTTTCATCTTCCATTTCATATATTCAAATGCTTGCGTCATCTTCGATTCCCAAGGCAAACTCTGCTCCCATAAGCCATAACTGAAAAGGAAAGGAAACGGCTAGCCCATTCCCCTCTTTCTGTCTCCACCTCCCACTGTCTCTCTCTGCCGTCAGAGGATTATGTCAACCGCCGCCGCACGCCTCCGTCGTTTAGCGGCGGCAACAGCTATCGCCGCCGCGTCTGGTGGTGCGATCTTCCTGACGCCGTCGGTGTCCGCCAGTGACAGGGGAGCGGAAGGTCTCTCTGTAGACGTGAGAAACAAAATTAGAGATCCTACTGCTGTCGTCCCATCGAGGACTGTACAGAAATCCGCTTTGATTGGCGCCAGCGCCGTTAATCCGCTTGATATCCTTGTGATCGGCGGTGGCGCCACAGGCTGTGGCGTCGCTCTCGACGCCGTCACCCGTGGTCTCCGCGTCGGCCTAGTTGAAAGAGAGGATTTCTCTTCCGGTACATCCTCTCGGTCGACAAAGCTAATTCACGGAGGTATGGATGCACACGGTCGTAACTTATATATATGTAGATTAAGTATGCGTTTCGTACATGGGGTTAGTAAGCATGCAAGTCTTATGCAATATGTATATTCTCATTTAGTTGCTGAGTGATGTGAATGTATTATGTGGTGACAGACTTAAACATGACTTTGATTTCTTTACTACTAAAAACTGTGTTTTCTTGTTCCGTCTTTTGGATTTTGGGGAAAGGATAAAAATTTAATGTCCGCCACTTTATCGATTGAACCTAAGAGGATTGTAGTTTTCAATAAAGTTAGGCAAATATTTCAAACCGATTATGGATGCATTAGTAATGACTTTGGATGCTGAAATGCTGGAAACAAGTATCTAACTTTGTCAAAAGATAAAAGGAAAATAACAAAATCCAACTGGGAATGTGACGTGAGCAGATAAAAAAAAAATTCTAAGTTTTTTCTTCATGGGTTAATATACTAATTACTTAAATGAAGTGTTGTTATATTTAATTGTTCTTTATATGCGCCTAAAGGTTTATGATTGTGAATGGTTGTTTGGTATTTAATATTTTTCATCTAGAACTGTGAAACTTTAGAAGGTTTGTCCAAATTGCATCAGGGTTTGACCCTGAATAACTTTTGCCATAGTGGATTGTGGTCTTTTCATATTTCCACCTAGCGTGAGAGTTAAAGTGATTGGTGCAGTTTCTTTCAGATGCTGACTGTGATAATTGTTTATTGAGGATTAGGAGTTGGTTTCAATCCTCCGCCTGCTTTATTCTTTAGAACAGTACATATACTGAATCATTCACTTTGTAACAAGTTGTATCCATCCTAGGGAACTTTTTGTGCAAATATCTAAGGAACAAATCAACCATCTTAACACATAGCACTGCTATTATGTTATTTTCTTCAAAGACAAAGGACTTAAGAAGAAGGCTGAAGATTCTCTAAAACTAGAATAATAAGAACAAGTGGTGCTTAAGTTTGAATTGATGTAGCTGGAGTTATGCTGGGGATTCTGATCGTTAAGATTTGCACATTTATGAACTTATGAACTTATAAAAAAATCAATACATGTGAAAGCTTTATTTAATATTTTTCTTTATATTATCACATGTCTTAAATTCAAAAGGAGTTCGCTACTTGGAGAAAGCTGTCTTCAATCTCGACTATGGACAACTGAAGCTTGTATTCCATGCACTGGAGGAGCGTAAACAGGTTATTGAGAATGCACCACATTTGTGCCATGCATTGCCATGCATGACACCTTGTTTTGACTGGTTTGAGGTGGTGTACTACTGGATGGGTTTGAAATTGTACGACTTGGTTGCAGGATCACACTTGTTACATTTGTCCAGATATTATTCTGCACAGGAATCTGTTGAGCTCTTCCCTACTCTTGCAAGGAGGGGTAAGGACAGGAGCTTGAAGGGTACTGTTGTGTATTATGATGGCCAGATGAATGACTCACGACTTAATGTTGGGTTGGCATGTACTGCTGCATTAGCTGGTGCAACAGTGTTGAACCATGCAGAAGTTGTTTCCTTTCTAAAGGATGAGGTAACTCAGCGGGTCACTGGTGCACGCATTCGGGACAATATAACAGGTAGCAGGATCATTCTTGCAAGTGTCAATTTTAGCAGTAGGTTACATCATTTTGGTATTGCATCCTTTCACTTGTTTTGTAATTTCTTTTGAGTTTGTGAGTATTAATCAGTTCTAGTATATGCTTCGAGCTTTATCTTTTATGCACTTTTCATTATCAGTACGTAATTATGTGGTCCTACATTGCTGCAGTGTACAATAGGTAGAATTTAGAGCCTAGAATGGGCAGCTTGTTTAATTGCTCTAAAGGCATGTGAGCATAAAGTTCTTTATTTGAATTACCTTGCGTTGTTAACCATTTGAATCCCTCTTCTGTTTTTTTATGTCTTAATCCTTATTCTTGCTATTAGAGCCTCAT